AGCAGACATTGAGCTGAATGGCTTGTTCTGTTCATCTGTCGTTTGGTCTTGTGTTCTTGTTCTAGTGGCCCCATTAACTCTGATTAGGTGCTGCAGAACATTTTGTTACTTTAATATAATTTCTTATTAGAATTTATTCATGTTGGACTTAATTTTATTCCCAATGATATTCATTAAGTTATTATTTTGAATATTATTGACATTGTGTTAGTTATGTGTTAAAGAAATGCCTGTGGTTGGTGTTTAACTTATGATTATGCATTCACAGATTTTTACATTTTCGACAAGCTAAAGGTTAGAATTCTGGAGTAAGATAGTTTATTAGCTCTGTGCTTGCATTGTGACAAGTACTTATATACATGAAAGGCATGCACAAGTGGTTAATTCTGTTTCTGATCTTCCTCTTGATCTCTGCTGTTCTCAATGAGCTTCACTATGAAAAATATCGGGCTCATTCACTATAATAACAGATTGTATACTGGGGGAGAAAGAATATTATTTATTGTTTAATACAGTTGTGTAATGATAGAGATTAGCCTGATCGTAGATAGTGTTTGTAATAATTAATTTAAAAATTAGTAAATGCTAAAATTGCATAATAGATCCATCAAATCCTTTTTTACAGATACTGACCTTTACAACATTTGTTTTGTTGATAGTTTGAGGTTTTTTTCTTTCTTGTTTCTTCTTGAATTAGGTGGCTAGTTCAATTTATTAAAATTTATTGATAATACTCATTGCAAATTTAGCATCTCATCAAAAAATTAGTGCCTCCAACAAATGAAAACTCCTTAATTACATCCCTGAAGTATCATGCTGGATTATGTGTTAAAGGAATCCATCTCAACACTCCGCTTTTGAGTTTCAAGTGGAAGTGTTCCCAATGAAACTATAGCTGATACTAATGACCTGAAGGATAAATAAGATCTATTCAAGGAGATCAAAAGATTTGATTTTGCCAGTGGACTAGAATCGTGGAAAGTTATGAGCAGCCTGTATAATCAGAATGAAAGCTCACAAATCAAGAAAAGAAGATAGGCCTGTATGTTGACTGGAGGAGATTACTGACTAAAGGGAAGAATGTGGGAGAGTGGAAAATCTCCAAAGAAACCACTGAACCCCATCCTCCTATTGTTAGTGGCAAATAGACCATCAGCTACAGCAATGTCAGAGTAATTTGAAAGGAAACTGGATTTTGATAATAGGTTTAACATGAGACCATTTCAGTTGTCTACTGAAACCAAGCTTTTGGGAGGTGGGGGTGAGGGGAGAAGTGTTGAGTTTATAGCTCTTACTAAATTATGCATGACTTGCTGAAATTAAATTGGAGTGGTTTAGTAGCCAGAGTCAAGGAATGAAACACATCTAAAGATTTAATGACTGACCTCCTTTCCCAAGATTTAAATACTCTGCTCTTAGAGCACCAATAATTAAAATCCAATAAGTTTATCATATCTGGTCAGGGAATAGCAGCACAGAGTAATAGTTTTTGATGCGAAAGCACATGCTGATTAAAATTAGGCCTGACATATTTACGTAAGTCAATATTATTGACATTGATTTTAAACTTAGATTATAGGTGCAAGAGTAGGCCATTCAGCCCTTTTGAGCCTGTTCCGCAGTTCAAGATGATCATGGCTAATCATCCAACTTCATACCCTGCTCCTGCTTTCTCTCTCAAGCTGTAGGATAAATATTTAACTATTGCCTAGAATTCTACAGGCTCACCTGGGTGAAGGAATTTCTTCTCCTATCAGTCCTAAATGGTCTCCTGGACTCCCTGGCCACCAGACCATCTTTCCTGCATTTACCCTGTCTGGTCCTGTTAGAATTTTATAGGATTCTATGAGATTCTAGAAACTCTGATGAATATGGTCGTAACAAATCCAGTCTCTCTTCATATGTCAGCCCTGCTGGGAATCAGTCAGTAAACCTTTGTGGCACTCCCTCCATAGCCTCAGGCAGAGAGACCAAAACTGCTCACTACTCCAGATGTGATCTCATCAAGGCCCTGTACAATTGTAGCAAGATATCCCATTCCTGTAGCCAAACCCTCTCACTATGAAGGTGCCTTCATGACCTTCTGTACCTGAAGGCTCACCTTCAGCGAGTGGTGTACAAGGATACTCCAGTCTTTTTGCATCTACCCCCTCCTCAACCTATCATCGTTCAGATAATAATCTATCACTTTGTTTTTGCTACCAAAATGGATAACTTCACATTTATCCACATTATACTTCCCCTGCCTTGCATTTGCCTACTAACTCAACTTGTCCAAATCACACTGAAGCATTCATGCATCCTCCTCACGGTTCACCCTCCCATCCAGCTTTGCGTTGTCTGCAAACTTGGAGATTTTACATTTAGTTCCCTCATCTATTACTAACACATATAGTGAATAGCTGAGATCCAAGCACTGATCCCAGTGGTACCCCACTAGTTACTGCCTACCACTTGGGGGGGAAAAAAACCCGTTTTTCTTCCTCCTCTTTGTCTCCTGTCTGCCAACCAGTCAATATCCATGTCAATACACCACCCCAATCCCGTGCACTTTAATTTTACATGGCATTCTCATGTGAGACCTTATTGAAAGCCTTCTGAAAATCCAAGTAAACCACATTCACTGGCTCTCCCTCATCAACTCTACTGGTTACATCCTCAAAAAATTCCAAGTCAAATATGATTTCCCTTTCATAAATCCATGTTGATTCTCGGATTCTGTTACTGTTTTCCAAGTGCTATCCTGATAAATCTTTTATAACAGACTCAAGAATTTTCCCCACTATCAACGTCAGGTTAACCAATTGATATTTTTCTCCACCTCCTTTTTCAAATAGTGGAGTTACATTAGAAACCCTCCAATCCAAAGAACTGTTCCAGTGTCTATAGAATCTTGAAAGTTGGCCACTAATACATCTACTTTCTGGGTGCACTTCCTAAAATACCATGGAATATAGACTATAGGACCCTGGGGATTTATTTGCATTTAATCCCATCAATGTCCTCAACAACATTTCCCTACTAATAATGATTTCCATAAATTCCTCCATCTGACTAGACCTCGTGTACCCCAATATTTTTTGGGATGTTATTTTGCCCTCTTGTGAAGACAGCACCTAAATATGTATTTATTGGTCTTCAATCTCTGCTCCCCACAATATCTTCCCTTGTTTCTGACTGTAAGAAATGTTTTGATATTCACATTGAAATCAAACAACACAATATTTATTGAAAAAATAGTATTTTTAAGGAATTTTAGACAGCGCCTGAGTCAGATAGTTTGGTAAAGTTTTACCTGTGTCAGAGAACCTAGGCAGAATTTTAGGCTGTGGTGGAGGAGCCAAGTCAGAGGCCAGCTGACAGGCCAGGAAGAAACTCTTGCTCCACAGCCATTATTGCTGCAGTCTGGAGCTACTCACCAATATGCACGGCTGACAGCTCCGCAGTTCTAGCAACACCAGAGTTAATTTGTGGTTGCTGTTGGGTCTGCAGCCAGTCCTAAGAATGACGCTCAGTAGAACCTCCAGGCCTAGGTAAGTCAGGGGCATTATGCAGGGAGATCATCTTCGGAATGAGGGTGGAGTGATGGATTTTAGTCTGTGGCAGGGAATCCATGCAGTGGGCACGCTGTAGTGCTGGGCTGGGACCTGCCTATTTTAGGTGCCCCTCTGCTAAAAATCACACTCTGCAGAGGCATGTAAAATCCAGCTGCTTGACATCTGCATTCTGTTCTTCTCTTCCCTCTCATAGAATCCACTTTGAGAATGATTGATTTTAAACTGCATATTTCCTTTCAAACACAAATCATTTGGCATTCACATTCACTTTAAGATAAGTGGTTGGATTACGTATGTTTAACAATGTGCCAATTTTTATGAAATAATCAATGGAATTTTTAGTCTCACTATTTTCAATGGATTTCAATATTTTTAAGAAAAGTTCTTAATTAGTTATGATAATATTTTTTGTTCAGAATGAATGAATTTATGATTTTCAATACTATATTTATCCCAATGAGGGGAAAAAATATCTTCCCGTTTGTAAAGTTGGCCAGGCAGCATCAGAGGAGCAGGAAAGTTGATATTTGGGTTTCTGAATTTCTGAAGAAGAGTGCCGACCAGAAACGTCAACTTTTCTACTCCTCCGATGCTGCCTGGCCTGCTGTGCTCCTCCAGCTCCATGCTGTGTTATCTCTGACTCCAGCATCGGCAGGTCTTACTATCTCTTCCTGTTTGTAAAGGCCTGACACAATGCTATGCTGCGAGATAGACTTGCAACCTTTTTCCAGGAAAGCATATTGATGAAGTATCAGACGCTCTTGTTGGGTTAGGACTAAACTCAGTTGTTGCTGGGGTATGCTGTTGACACTCTATTACGAATAACAATTCAGGATTATTGATTTCCATCACAGGGAATATTAAAAGAAATAAAGAAATGTTGTGCTGTAGAACATGTCCAATCTGATCCTGCTTGTTAATGTCATGTAAACTGAGAGACACAATGGCTCAGTGGTTAGCACTGCAGTCTGTCAGTGCCAGAGACCTGGTTCAATTCCAGCCTGAGGTGAATGTGTGGCATTTGCACATTCTCCCCATGTTTGCACGGGTTTCTGCCAGGAGCTCCACAGTCCAAAGATATGCAGGTTAAGTGGCCATGCTAAATTGTCTGCAGTGTCCAGGGAAGGAGAAGGCAGATGGGACTAGTTTTGTTTGGGATTATGTTTGGCATGGACTGGTTGGGCCGAAGGGTCAGTTTCATGCTGTATGACTCAAAGTGCAGACTAGGTGGATTAGCCATGTTAAAAGTGGGTTATGAGGATAGGGTGAAGGTTGGATCTGGTGAGATGCTGTTCAGAAGATTAGTACAGAATCAATGGGCCGAATGGCACAGTAGGGATTCTATGATTCTAAGTTATTCCACATCTTGTTGTGAAATAGAACACAAGTATTGATCTGGAACCAGTAGTTTCTGTGCTTACTTTTATTTAATTTTTCAAAAAGAATATTTGAAAAAACGCCTGGAAGAATATATGGCACGATTTCCAAAAGTCAGGATTGTACGGGCCAAGAAGCGAGAAGGTTTAATTCGAACACGACTACTGGGGGCCACAGCAGCAAAAGCAGAGGTGATTACTTTCTTGGATTCTCACTGTGAAGCAAATGTGAATTGGCTGCCCCCATTGCTAGGTAAGAAGCAAAATCACAAGTTTTATCATCCTTGGAGAAAAGCTGTGATCGTTACTTTCGTTAATTTAGAACTGTGATTAGTAAATTATGCGATGTTCCACACATACTCCTTTTGGATTGCATCTACTCCATCATTGTTTCTTAATTTGAGCTTCGGTGGTTTTTAAAATATTTAATAATATGTAAATTGTCTCTTAAATCCAGTACTAAATTAGGTAACATCAAAACCAGGTGCTTTGGAGTTAATGCTTCATCTTTTATTCTTAGCATGTTCTGATGACCTTTGAATATTAATGATCATGAAATTAAGTTGAATGAAGTTGAAATTTGTTCACAGTGGGACTTGTGAAACAGTATTTTTTGAAGTGGGAGGGTTAGAAGGGAATTGAATAAGCATGCAAAGAAACTAAAAGAAAAGGTCAAAGTAAAGAAAGTGTACAAGATGAATATAAATATTAATGGTTTCATACTCTCATAATACTCTTTTCAAATTTGTAACTGCTCTATGCCCAAATTCTCAATGACCCCCAGCTAGAAGGAGGAAAGTCATTTAGTGTAGCCTCCTTAAGTGATATCAGCTGAACCCTATTGCAAGAGTACATGTGCGAACAAGTTCAGAGTTTGTGGAAGTAAGTACCAAGGTAAAATACCTCATCAACCTGCAGTGTCCAGGCTTGCTCAAAAGAGTGGTTACTTCCTCTTAAAGTCCTTGTTCTCTTGGGTCTATTCACTTATTCCCTGTTGTATTTGAATTGTAATTTGTTTTTCATTGAATGTGGTGTATATTTTGTCATTTTATGAATAGGTCCTTCAATTGAATCCTTCTCTTCAATCTTTCAGATCGAATTGCTCAGAACCGCAAAACAATTGTGTGTCCTATGATTGATGTTATTGACAATGATCATTTTGGATATGAGACTCAAGCTGGTGATGCCATGCGAGGGGTATTTGACTGGGAAATGTATTATAAGCGTATTCCAATTCCAGTAGAGCTTCATAAACAAGATCCAAGTGACCCTTTTGAGTAAGTTTTCAATTCAATCGAAACATTTGTGACCAACAAGGATAAGGCTGTTGTACGAGTTAAGTGAACAAAGATTTTTGGTAGCTATTGTCCTAGTCAGTTCACTTATTTCTTTAAAAGTAGGATGAATTTTTTTTGGCTGACATGTTTCCTTCATTTGTTGAACATCAATGCGCCATAATAGTGTGATCCATTTTAAAATAATCATTGCAAATGCTAACATTTGCCTTATTCGTTTTCATAACCATGCTCCCACATGCTCCTCTTTCACCTGCTGTCAGCTCCTATTAGTTGCTACCCCCGGGACCTGAATTGCAAGAAGTTGGGTTTCTTGATGTAATACAGACTGAGGGCAGCTGGTTTCTGGTTGCATCTCTGGAGCTTGGTCCTGAGAATCTGGTCTTCCCTTTCTATGTTTTGACCAGCATGGTGCAGAGGTGAGTGGCCTGATTTGTTGCTGTTCTGAGAGATGTTAGCAGCCAAGTGGATGCCATTCAGTTGGCCTCGGATCTTCTCAGCTCCTCCTCCTCTTCACAATCATCATCACGTTCCTTCTCCTGCGCACCTACTTCTTTGTGAGATAGAAGGATAGAAAGTAAGAATAATTAACTTGGAGTTAAGAAGACAGACTGGTTTGGAATCTTCTTTCTCCATGGTTCTTCATGGGATGTATGTGTGCCAATGTAAATATTCAGTCATTAACCTGACGCGGGCAAGATGTGATCAAGTTTGCCGCTTCCCTTGACAGTACAATGTTTGTCTGCTAAGTCTATGGACTTGACCTTAAAAAGGGTCCAGGGTTTAAAGCTAGTTGCATCCTCAGTGCCTACAAGTGGTAAGCATTTTGCAACACATTTCATGCAAGAAGGTAGAATAATTGAAAGCTACTGGTTAAGGGTGTATGCTTAATTCAGCAGCTACTTGACAGTGTGGTTAAGTTTAAGGAAGTTAAAGAAAGTGTTTAAGTCTGTTGAGGTGGAGGAAGGCAATACATGTAAATAATTAAGTGTGGAGCTGGAGGAACACACGTTTCTGAAGAAAGGTCCCGACCCAAAACGTCAAATTTCCTGTTCCTCTCATGCTGCCTGGCCTGCTGTGTTCCTCCAGCTCCACACTGTGTTATCTCTGACTCCAGCATCTGCAGTTCTTGCTATCTCACATGTAAATAATTGTTGTGAGGGGAATAGGGGTATCTGTTGTCATAATATCATTTTTAAATTCCCTTAACCAGAGGTTTATGATAATGATACCTTGAAGCATATGACAGGCAAGGTAAAACTGAATAAACTAGTGTTGGTCTGTACATACTGTCTTGCAGTCTAGGGGTGAAGGAAGTTGGCATATGGTGACAGTGCCTCATACCCTGAGATATCACATGCTCCAGTCTTGGCTGACTTGGTTATATGCACACCCAGAAGTCTGTGCTCCCTGTCTTCAATCCCTTTCAGGAAGGTTTGGAAATGAAAATAACATGTTTGTTGATAGCAGTATGCCCTTCCTCTCTGTCTTTGCAATTGCTCTAAAGATTGCCATCCTCTAAAATTGTTTATTTGATATCGAGACCTGGGTCAGTAAAACATGGGGTAACTGCCACCAGTTTTTATTCCATCATCCTAATCATCTGCTGTCTGAATATTTGTCAGGCAACGTCAAAAATTGGTTTCCTTGAATGACCTTTTAATGTGATCCATTATTAAAATTACATTCTTCCATTTCTGCTTCTTTCTTTTCCCATTTCTTGCTGGAAGTGCTAGCCCATCCATTCTCCAGCTTCAGATTTGACTTATCTGGTCTTCCTACCTAAAATAAATTATGTATGAATTTATTTAAAACACTGCAACTTGTATTTTCACCAAAACAAGTGTCAAATTCTCATCATGTCTGCCCTGTGTTTTAGAGTTCAAAATTCTAGTCCTTGCTTTTCAAATCTCTCGCCTTGCTGTACCCACCCTACTTAGTAATTTCCTTTTCTTTTGTGTTCTCTAGCATTAGATGTCTCCAGCACTAAACATGTTTCATTCCTCTTTCACCACTGGTGCATGCTTAATTCAACAGCTCTGCATCATTTGAGCATTCTACTCTGATTTTTCTGCATGGCCAGCTCTCCCCTTGCTTTCAAAACTGTCCTTTTTTTTAAAAAAAAATGACCTTGATTCCCACTCCAACCTGTACATTCTCCTCTTTCTATCAAAGATCAAATACACTAACCAGCACTTCCTATTTACATTAAATTTTAGTTAGAACATTGTTTATAGAAGTTATCACGCTACTTGTTTCTTTCCAGATCACCTGTCATGGCTGGAGGTTTGTTTGCTGTTGATAAAAAGTGGTTCTGGACGCTGGGTGGTTATGACCCTGGTTTGGAAATTTGGGGAGGAGAACAATATGAGATATCATTCAAGGTAAGTTGCATATTGTGGATGTATTCAAAGCATTTCCTTAACTGAGTATGATTCATACTGTATCATTAACATTCTAATTAATATTGCATATTAAGACACCAAATCTCATAAGGATTAAATATTATTCTACCTTAATTAGAAATCTCTCACTGTTAATGAAGATGGCTCAGTCTTCCTAAGGTATTGACTTTGCTATATTTTGGAACACAATGTCAGCAATTTTCATCCCTGTAATTTTTGTTCTTCTGAAGTGTTCAAGTCATAAATTTCATTCTATGCTGACATCTGCAATCCTGAGTTCTGTAATTATTACAGATTATAATTATCAGTAAAGATTGCACAGAATGGATTTTTTCTATTAGATGAAGGTTTTATTGTGACTTAGGAAAGGTCTTTAAAATTTTAAAGTTTAATAGGGCAGACATAGAATATTTTCACTTTTAGAAAAGTTCAAAACTAGATGTGAATATTTTTAAAAGAAAAAAGGTCCTGAATAAATCCAGGTTAGAATATGAAACTTGCCACAGCATGGGGAAATTGTGATGACTCGAATAGAAATATTTAAAGGACAGCTAGATAAGTATGAGAGGAAGATGCTCACAGTTGGATGAAGAAGGGTGGGCAAAAAACTCCTATGGTGCATCATTAGCTGCTGGGCCAGGTTTCCACACTACAATGTCCGTTTAACTACCTGATAACTGCTACTAACTCAACAGTAACCATCAATCTTAATAAGCATTCTAGTTCTAAAGACTGAGTGGTAGGCAAAGTCAGTGCACTCTCGTGGATTGTTCCCATTGATCCTTGCCCCTCCCATTCCACTCCTTGGATTTTGAATTTAGCAGTAGGCCTGTGTTTCCTCCCCACGCTCTTAGTCTCTGGAACTTTCACAGCACTCATTATGTCCTTGTCAATGTTGATTAATCACCCATCAATTTTTCTCATTTGTCGTTCCTTCCTTCCTATTCCCATTGAATGTGGGACATGTTTCTTCACTTAGCATCTTTGAACCCTGTTTGGACTCTTCCTTGGCAGTGGTAGATACTTCCATTCCATGCTTGCTTTCAAACATTAACCTCCATTTGTATACTGCATCTCTCTCTCTGTTGCCTCACCCTCTAACAATTCCTTCGCAAATTCTCATTAGCCTATTTTCTAAGTATTAACTTTCTCTTGTATCATGTTATAATAATATTGGAATGTAAAACAATAAAATGAGGACCAAATGAATTATCCCTTACATTTCAACTCCGCTTTATCTGAAGATTACTCTTGATTCTCAAGCCCTGTGTGAAATATAATGGGGTGTTACATAAATCTGAATTTTTGAAATATATTTTGTTGGCTAGATCATTTTAAAGTAATGATAGTGTAAATTAGACACAAAAAAGGACAGAAATTGCTGGTATAACTCAGCAGGTCTGGCAGCATCTGTGTAGAAAAAGCAGAGTTAACATTTCGGGTCCAGTGACCCTTCTTCAGAACTGTTAGCCTGGGAGAATGAACCACTCCTATCTCGAGCTTTAGTCATCACACGGGCTGCTACCACAAACAACCCATTGTCAGTTACAAGGCCTGGTGTCTGGGGTTGGGGTAAAGAGAAGGTAATCAGGCCCTAAAGTTATTGAACTCAATCTTGAATCAAGATAGCTGTAGGGTTCCCAAGTGGAAAATGAGGTGTTATTCTTCCAGCTTGCACTAGAGTGCTGCAGCAAGCCGAGACACAGTGTAGCAGGCATTTGGAAGCTCAGGATCATTTTTATGGACAGAACATAAGTGTTCTGCAAAGAGTTATGCATGCAGGTTTCACAATGGCTGTCTCAAATTTACACTGTTAGTATGTTGTTTCTGACTGGGGTTTCAGGTATGGATGTGTGGTGGTCGGATGGAAGATATCCCTTGCTCCAGGGTAGGACACATCTACAGAAAATATGTTCCTTACACAATTTCAAGTGGATTTGGCTTGCCCAGAGTAAGTAATTCACATTTTACATGTCTTTTAACTTTTTAATTTTCATTGTGATAACTTGCTTTTCTTTAAAGAAAGTTAAGAGCAAATGATGTTTCGTTGTTTGAAACCCATGTATGTTTGATGCACACTCGACAAAATAAATCCATAGTTTCAGTTAGAATTCAAGTTTGAGAAACTTAAGAATTGGCTGACATATCGAAAAGATGTGGCTCAATGATGAAAACTTGTGCTCCAGATCTAGATGTTCTTCTGGCCAAGCTTTTGCAATCCAGTTGCAGCATTGGCATTTATCTAACAAAATGGATAAACGCCCATCATGTCCAGAAGAAGTGGAGAAAATTGAATTAGCCAATTATCATCCTGTCAACATATGCTTGATCATCAACAAATTGATGAAAGGTGTCATCTAGAGGATTACAAAGCAGTATTTACTCACAAACAACCTTCTCACAGATACTTAGTTTAGAGCTAGGACCACTTGACTCTAGTCTCATTACAGCATTGTTCCAAAAATGGATGGAATATCTGAATTTCAGAGGTGAGGTGAAAAGATACTCTTGATATCAAGGCAATGTTGGACTGATGGTGGCATTCAGGAGCCTTGGGGAAAGTCGGAATCAATTGGAATTGGAAGTGGGGTTTGGGAACTTCAGTTGGCTGGAATCATAGCTAGTGAAAAGCAAGATGGCTAAAGTTATTAGAGACCAATTATCTCAGCAGCAGGACTTCACTGCAAGAGTTCATTAGGCCAATGTTCTAAGCATGATCATCTTCAGCTGTTTCATTAACAAACGTCCCTCCATCAGGTCAAAAGTACGACAAGCAGGAGGCTGGAAGAATGCAGCAAGCCAGGCAGCATCTGGAGGAAAGGAGCAGTCAACGTTTCGGGTATTACCCTTCTTTATAGGACTTCAGCTCCTTTCCTCCAGATGCTGCTTGCCTTGTCGTGTTCTTCCAGCCTCCTGTTTGTCTACCTTGGATTTCAGCATCTGCAGTCTTTCTCATGGTCTCTAACCAGGTCAAAATTTTGGATGTTCTCTCGGGTTTCTGTTTGCATCTCAAACAGATAGTGAAACCAAGGCCTGGGCAACATTTTGGCCAATGTTCATAAGTAGCAAAAAGTATTTGCAATACATAAGTGCCAGGCAATAGTTATCTCCAGCAAGAAAGAATCCAACTACCTCCCTGTGACATGCAACTCTTTCACCGTCAATATCCGGGTTGGGGGGTGGGTGTCAAAATTGATCAGAAAATTAATTAAATCTGTCACAGTTTTATTTCATATCCATTCTCAGGAGGTTGGCATCATGGGTTAGGCCAGGATTTTTTTTATTTTGCTTGTCATAAATTACCCTGGAGAAGGTGGTGGTGAACCATCTTTCTTGAACCGCTGCAGTCAAGGGAAGCAGGTTTACGAACAATGCTGTTGGGAGGGAAGTTCCAGGAGTTTGAATTGATGACAGTGAAAGAATGGCTGGGGGGCATTGTTCTAAACCAGTATTATATGTGGCTTGGAGGAAACTTTTAGGCAGTGGCTTTCCCATGTGCCTGCTGTCCTTGTCCATCCAGTTGGTAGAGGTCATGGATTTGAAGAGTTGCTGTCAAAGCAACCTTAACGAGTTAGCGCAGGGCATCATGTTGATGTTACACACTATTATCACTGCAGTGGTTGGGTGCTAATCAAATTGGTGGCTTTGTCCTGAAAGGTATCAAACTTCCTGAGTTATGTTGGACCTGCACTTGTCCAAACAAGTGGAGAGTACTTCATCATGCTCCTGACTGCGGATCATGGACGTGCTTTGGAGACTGGGGTCAGTGAAATGGATAGTTTGTTTCTCATGCGAATAATGGTAAGGAGAACTGGGCAGTTTGGTTGTTATACATCTAGAGGATCTTGGACTAAAAGAGAAAGTGCTGGAGAAACTCGGGTCTGGCAGCATCTGTGGAGACAGAAAGTGTGTTAATGTTTTGAGTCCAATGACTAGTCTTTGGAATTCTGAGTATATTGGACATAGCAAAAGGTAGAGTCATGAAGAAATTTAAACCAAAGATGAGGATTTTACACTTGAAGCGTACGGGTTATGATATTACTCAAGAAGATGGTAACAAGAAGAAGCAAATTTAAGAAAATTACAGAAGAATTAAAGGGAGGCTTATACCAAGGGAACATAAGATTGTATACCATAAACTGTTGTTGCTGTAGAGCCCACAGTTTTCACTTAAAATTTAATTACTTGGGGAGATGATGGCCTAGTGGTATTATCACTTGACCTCAATCCAGAGACCAGACAACATTCTGGGGATCTGGTTAGAATCCCGCCACGGCAGATGGTTGAATTTGAATCCAATAAATATCTCCAATTAAGAATCTAATGATGACCATGAATCCATTGTCGATTGTCGCAAAAACCCATCTGGTTCACTAATGTCTTTTCAGGAAGAAAACTGCCATCCTCACCTGGTCTGGCTTACATGTGACTCCAGACTCACAGCAAGATGGTTGACTCTGAACTGCCATCTGGGCAATTAGGGATGGGCAATAAATGCTGCCTAGCCAGCGATGCCCTCATCCCGTGAAGTAATTTTTAAAAAATTACATTGTTCCAGAGAGTTTTTGCAGGGCCTATAAAAGACGAGCAAAGAGAGCTAAATCAATTACTTCACTCAAGAAAATCTTAATAGGATGAATGGCCTCTACTTACGTTATAACAGTATTCTAACAGGAATGTGGAAAAAGTGGTACCTTTCTATTCCTGCACCAAGGTATGAGGAGGACCAAATAAAATAGAGCACTGCAGATGCTAAAGATCTGAAATAAAAACAGGAAGTGCTGGAAAAATGGGCAGGTCTAGCACCAGCAGTGGAGAGAAAAACAATGTTAACATTTCAAATCCAATATAACTTCTTCAGGATTGAAGAAGAACTTGGGTTCTTCAGAAGAGTCACGCAGGAATAGAAATGTTAATTCTGTTTCTGTCTGTACAGATGCTGCTATATGTCCTGAATTTCTCCAGCTCTTTCTGCTTTCCTAATGAGGAAAGCCAGACTGACGCAGGTCAGTTTTCCCTACATCAGGAAATTTCTAATGCCTCATACTTTTTAGTTACTACCTTACATTTTAATACTTGTCCTTAGTATTTTCCAAATTTATTCCTGAATTTCTCTTCAATTGACAGAATGTTTTTAAGCTGACGATACAACTCATCAATCAAACATTATTATGTTTGGTTTTGCTTTACTTTCACCACAGATGATGGGCATAAGCACTGTCTCTTGCTTTTTGTATTAAAAACAACTCATGAACTCTTCAAATTACCTTTTGGCTATCTACACAAGTGGGAATCAGCTTCAGGATTTAACGACAATCTTCCAGGAAGCATCTATCTTGTATGTTTTCCTTTTGGTTAACAAGTCCATTTAGATCCAAATTAAAGGATAAGAATAAGTTCAACTAGGCACTTGTCCTTGTTATGTCTTGCACCAACCTATGTATCAGTTTGGTATGATGGATTTGTAATGGCAGAGGACATGTCATTATATAGTGCGAAGTGGAACTCATGTTTCCTAATGTAATTATGATATTAGTTTGGGATTGAAAAAACCAACTCTGTGTGTAATGTTTGAAGTTAATTATTAAATCAGGTTTCCTTTTCCCTGTTAGTAGAATTGTAAACCCAGTTTTCAAGTGTAAATTGAGTGATGTCATACAATTTATGTTGCTTGTTTTGTAAATATACAAGTCCGTACATCACTTAAATTTTTATCCACCTCAAAGAATGGAATTCAGCAGTGAGTTGGGCTCCAACTTGCACTGATGTAGTCACATGCTTATTGTGGTATAAGACCTTCCTTGGGATTTTTAAACGCATTTTCTTGAATTTTAATCATTATAATGGGAATAGCTTTGACTCTTTCCATCTCTGTATGTGACTTTGATTGAACATTATGAACAAAATGTTTGAGTTTACTAATTATGACATTTGAAATCAATCAGCATTCATAGTTGGGTGAGTTGAATTTTGCATCCAGAACTAACTACTGGTGAGGACTTTAGATTAATACAACTTGCCAACATGATGAAGAAAATTGGGAGCTGGAGGATTTCAATTTCAACTTCAACATGACAAATTAGTTTATGTTTAGGCACTTCCATATGTCCAGCCTTTTGGATAACAAGTTGGCAATTCAAAAAAAGCTCTCCCGAACTAGGTATTGTTCCTGGAACTTGTAAAGCACAGTAGTTTGCAGTACATTTTTATGTACAAACAGTTCCCTTGAAGGATAGAAATGACAACTGAGCAGGGAACCAAAGCAGTTAACCAATTAAGACTCTTAAAAATATAAAATTCAGATTCCAACTGATTAACCAATGTAGATTGGCAAAAACTTTTCGTCTCCTAACCTGCTTGAACTTCAGGAATTATAACCAAAGTGTTTTAACAAAATATGTGTGTAATGTTCCAAGTTAATTGTTTTCAAAATCAAAGAAGGGATCAATAAGTTGTCATTCGTATAAATTTGTTTGTGTTACAGAATTTGAAACGAGTTGCTGAGGTGTGGATGGATGAGTATGCAGAGTATCTCTATCAACGGAGACCAGAGTATAGACACATTTCTGCTGGTGATTTAAAAGCACAGAAAGAACTGAGGACTTCCCTTGATTGCAAAAGTTTTAAGTGGTTCATGACTGAAGTGGCATGGGATTTACCTAAATTCTATCCACCAGTGGAACCTCCAGCTGGTGCCTGGGGTGAGGTGGGTATGCAGGAATGTATAAAGAACTATTTTGATTGGCAGGTGTAGATAGGTGTTGGTGAAGACAAAATTGTACAATATTAGATATTTCATGAGGCCATAGCTGTAATGAAAACAAGTATCTCAATAAGTATAAGCCTTGTATGCATAACCACAGCAGGCCGTTCTACAGTAGAAACCTTTATCTGAGTGACACTGCTGTCTTCTGAACTGGTGAATAGGTAAGAAATAACAGGTTAGTAATAGATACCAACAAAATTAGTTTTAGAGTGAACTAAGCACAGGTAATAGAAGACCAGGTGATGGCTAGGTAAATGATTGCAGTGGGGAACTGAATAGTTACGTAGATGCAGAGTGAAATGTATGATAAATGTTAATAGGTCTTCTGTTTTCCTCGAGTAAGAATTACAGAAACAAGGATTGGTGAGTTAAAGGATGAAGGCCATGAATCTGTACAAGTGTGATTCATGTCAGATGGAATTCTTTTTTGAACAGATGTCAATGGAGCTCTAACAAGGAATGTAAAGATAAAATTACAAACAAGCTTCCGCCAAAGATGGTGATTTCTAAAGGCAAAATACTGCAGACGATGGAAATCTGAAATAAGAACAGAAATTCAGCAGTTAGAGAGTCACACAGCACAGAAACAGACCCTTCAGTCCAACTCCTCCTGCCAACCTAACATCCCAACCTGACCTAATCCCATTTGCCAGCATTTGGCCCGTATCCCTGTAAACCTTTCCTATTCATATACCCATCCAGATGCCTTTTGGATTCTGTAATTGTTCCTCCCTCCACCACTTCTTTTGGCAGCTCGTTCCACTCTGCATGAAAATGTTGCCCTTTAGGTCCTTTTTTAAATCTTTCCCATCTCACCCAAAGCATTTGGCCTCTAGTTTTAGACTCCCCCATCCCAGGAAAAGTCCTTGGCTTTTCACCCTATCCATGTTCCTCATGATTTTATAAAACTCTATAAGGTCACCCCTCAGCCTCTGACACTTTAGGTGAAAAAAGCCCCAGCCTATTCAGCCCCTCACAATAGCTCAAACCCTCCAACCTTGGCAACATCCTTTAAATATTTTCTGCACCCTCTCAAGTTTAACAACATTCTTCCTCTAGAAGGGCAACCAGCATTGTATGCGGTATTCCAAAAGTGGCCTCACCAACGTCCTGTACAGCCGCACCGTGAAGTCCCAACTCCTGTTCTTAATGCACTGTCCCATGAAGGCAAGCATGCCATCTGACACTCTTCAGCCCATCCGATCAAGGTCCCATTGTACTCTAAGGTAATCATCTTCACTGTCCACTACAATCACCTATTTTGGTGTCATCCACAAACTTACTAACTGTACCTCCTATGTTCACATCGCAATCATTTATATAAAAATGAAAACCAGTGGACCCAGCACTGATCTTTGTGGCACATCATTGGCCACCAGTCCGAAAAGCAACCCTCTACCACCACCCTCTGTCTCCTACCTTCAAGCCAATTTTGTATCCAGTTGGCTAGCTCTCCCTTAGATCGCGTGGGATCCAGGGGGAACTAGCCAACTGGATACAAAATTGGCTTGAAGGGTGATGGTAGAGGGTTGCTTTTCAGACTGGAGACCCATGACCAGCGGTGTGCCACAGGGATCAGCGCTGGGTCCACTGTTTCTCGTCATTGATATTCTGGCATCATTTGTGAAGAGAGAAACTGAGTTAATGTTTTGAATCCAATATTAAGACTATAAGATATAGGAGCAGAAATTAGGCCATTCGGCCCATCGAGTCTGCTCCACCATTCAATCATGGCTGATAAGTTCCTCGACCCCATTCTCCTGCTTTCTCCCTGTAACCCTTGATAATCAAGAACCTATCTATCTCAGCCTTAAATGTACTCAATTACTTTTTTTGAAAGAACTTAATTTCGTATTAATGGTAATTTTTTTCTTGTTGCTCAGCTAGCTGCGAATGCGACAGGAGTTAATAGTCTTAAAAACCGAAAAGCAAAGAATCACAATAATATTAGCAAAGAAAGGTGTTAAGGAGTTGCTGAAGATTTGATGTTAATAATTTGAAACATTCAAATAGGACAGAAACAATAAGAGAAGCTATTATAGAATAGAATATAGTCGATGAAAGGAGTGGTACTGGTGACTGAATATCCTCCACGTTGTCTTCATCACTGGTAGATGAGCAATGATAATAGTTACAGAAAGTAGAGGAGGTTAAACTAATTTCAAAAGAAGGTTTGAATCAAAGTAATGCAGAATTGTCCATGGCCCTTTTTTGTGCAAAGTTCAGAAACTGGAAAAATCCTTGTCAAAAAGAAATGCAAGTTTGAAAACTATTCTTGTGTTTGGAGTTATTTATTTGAGGTCATGAAAAGTAGATTTGTGATTCATGTAAACAACTTTCTGTCCTAGATTCGTAATGTTCATATTGGATTATGTGTGGACAGTAAACATGGGGTTTCTGGCTCACAGTTGAAATTAGATGTTTGTATCAAAAATGGTGCAGATGGAACCTGGTCACATGAGCAGGTTAGTGAGCTGCAACACTACTTTAATTTCAGTTAACAAATTAAGAATCAGTTGGTTATTGTATATTGCTGATGTTGTCTCTACATTTTCTGCTACTGCTTTCCTCTTCTATTAACTCTGTTCATTCTCTGTTGTGGATGAGAGAGAGAGAGAGAGAGAGAGACGCTGGGTGGTATGATGTGATGTATTAGGGAAAAGAACCACCGGCAGCCACAGGCTGCACTTAGGAACAGAAGTAGGCCATTCAACCCCTTGAGCCTGCTCTGCTATTCAATTAGATCATGCCTGATCTGTGGGCTAACTCCATATGTCTGCCCTGGGCCATTTTTCTTCATACCCTTGCTTAATAAAATTGTCTATCTCAGATTTACATTTAACAATTAAAGAATAGTGCAGCACAGGAATGGGCCCTTTGGACCACTAAGCCTGTCCCGACGCATGATACCTATCCAAATAAAAACCTTTTGCTTCTATGCAGTTTGTATTCCTCTATTCCCTGCTTGTTCATATATCTATTGAATTAGCATCTGCCACCGTTTGAAGAAGAGAGTTCCAAACCTCCACTGTTCTTTGCATGAAGAAGTGCTTTGTAACATCTCACCTAAAAGCCTGGCTCTAATTCTTAGATTATGAGCCCTGGTTCTCCGAATCTTCAACCAGTGAAAATAGTTTATCTTTTTCTACCTTGTCTTTCTCTGTTAATATCCTGATAACATTAAGTAGATCACCCCTTAACCTTCTAAATTCCAGAAAATAAAGGCCAAATTTATCTAATCTCTCCTCGTAAGTTAACCCCCGAAGTCCAGGTATCATCCTTGTAAAGCTGCACTGAACTCCCACCAGGGCCAAACCATTCTAAGGTGTGGTGCCTAGATCTGTTCACAGCAGTCTAGATAAGGTTTTGTATAATTGCAGTGTAGCATCTGTATCCCTGTACTCCAGCCCTTTAGATATGAATGCCTTATCCCACTAGCCGGCTTAACTATTTTCTACACATGTTCATTGCATTTTAAAGAGCTATCCTCCAAATCTTGTTGGATATCCACTGTACTTAATTTTGCGCCTTCTAAAAAATGCCCTGATCTATCCTTTAATCGATCCAAAATGGATAACCTCATACTTGCTTATATTAAAATCCATCTGCCACAGCTTTGCCTATTCACCTGATCTATCAATTTTTTTGTTGTAATTTTATGCTGTCATCAACACTGTCTCCAGTGCTGCCCAATTTTTTGTTGTCAGCAAATTTGGATATTTGACTTTCATGCCATTATCAAAGTCATTAGTGAATATTGTGAACAATTAAGGCCCCCATACAGATCCCTTGGGGACACCGCTAGTAATGTCCAATTTGAGTACTTACACATTTTTCCAACTCTCCTTCTTGTCACTCAACTAATTTTCAATCCTATTTGGGATGGGACTAATGGGGGAGTTTTCAGTGGGCCTGTCCTATGCAGTAAGTCTCTATTTATTGTTGCCATATCTAACATTGTTTCACTTTAATGTCAATGAATTAATCAGGCCTTTAATCTCGCTGAATGTCACAAGATTTGTTTTCATGTTGTTATTTCACACATGAACCTGATGGGTACCATTTTGAAGTTGCGCGTCCCCTAAGACATTTCCAACTTGCAGCCTCTTCCCCCTTCCTGATTCAGCCTCTTCCCATGTCCCAGCCTGACCCTTATGTTCCCACTCAAGATCATGATTGGTGCTAGAGTTCCGGGCTTGGGAAAATGTGAAAGTCGGTGCGGAATTGCTGAGGAGATGCTGTTATAAACCTTTCTTGAAAGTACTCACATTGCTGCTTCCCACTCTTGAATGCTTGCTGTGAGTGGGGCCTTTGGAGATGAATGATGACAGGAAGAGCAGTTTCAACAATCGTTTTTAAAAAGCAAAACGGATTATGACAACCTTGCCTTGACACTTCTGCACCCTCGGAACTCTCACTTTCGCAACCCTGGAGCTCCTGCATTGAATGAAGATAATGAATGGAACCACACATTTTTTGGAAGTGGAAAACAGTAGGAAATCGATATTTGGCAAGTGGATGTCTTTCCTTCCGAGGGAGAGAGGTGCAAATTGGGGAAAGGAAATGACCATAAGTCAAAAGCTCAGGGATGATGGGGTGAGACAGCAAGTCAGAGGGTTAAGAAAGGGAAAGCTCTGAAGTGAGCAGGAGATTTGGGCAGCAGATTTGGTGGTGAGCAGGAGGTACCGAGAGTTGAAAGTTACATACTTCTTTTATACTATGATTTTAAATTTATTTTACTTTAAAAGTCATTTCATTTACCATGTAAGAATTTAACAATATAAAATATATCAACTTTGGAGTATAATATTTTAATTTTTTTCTCTATTGAGACAGATCTTACAGAACCTAAGTATAGTTTGTGCAGTGGTTTTAAACTGCTCATACTTAAAGTCAACTTTGGTGGAAACCCAGCCACAAATGAGGACTTGTACAAATGTTCACTTGGTGGTACAGAACTTGGGAAATGCTGAAACAAAAGAAACGTACTGTTGAAACTTCTAATCTTCTTCTATTTAGGATTGTACACAGGAATACTAGATTTTAAAGGCAATGATAATCTGTACTACATAAGAAATAGGGTGCTGACTGGTTGAGGCATTGCTTTTGAGGACTACACCAGGGAACAGTTAGTCCAAAGCTTTTGTTTAAATTTTAAAAAAAGGCAAGTCCACTCTGCCTCGTGTCATGGGAAATGCATCTTCAAGATATGTCACCCAAGCTTTTGTTTAATTAAAAAAGATACAATGCCTGAACAAATTCCAAAGCTCCTTTCTCCTGTAGAGGATTAGCTACTGCATATGATTATATGTAGCTTCTAGCAAACATTAATGAGCCACTTTGAGCCCAACTAATAAGTTTAAATTTATCATTTGTGTAATTGTTGGTATACTTGGGACTGCTGTGTAAGTGCTACCCAATCCAGAATCCGATCTAATATTAAACATCATGTTCTAAGTTTAACATGTATAAAATTGAAAGAACTGCGGATGCTGTAAATCAGGATCAAAAACAAAGTTGCTGGAAAAACTCAGCAGGTCTGGCAGCATCTGTGAATGAAGAAACAGAGTTAATGTTTCGGGTCCGAAATGTTCTAAGTTTTGCCAGCATAGACTAGTTGAGTTACAGTCAGTTCTCTGTACTTTGTGAATGTACGGTCCACGTACCTGGAATCATGCCAGCACTGAAATTTCTGTAACTACATTACTCTTTTGTGTGGTTAGCACAATGTGTTTTTGTTTTTCTCAGCAGCATCTTGTTGATGGAAAATGGTTATTTTTCTGTATTACTGTTTTCAAATTTGATTTGCCTTCTCCCATTAGGTCTTTACATTAGGTTGGCGAGAAGATATACGCCCTGGAGATCCCTTGCACACGAGAAAATTTTGTTTTGACGCTGTTTCACATAATAGTCCAGTCACGTTATTTGATTGTCATGGAATGCATGGAAACCAACTATGGAAGTACAAAAAGGTGAGTGATACGTATTAATCTTTATGAAATTTTCCAATGAGTGTAGAATAAATTTCAGAGGTGAAATTTACAGATAGGGAACCTTTTCTCCATGTTGACATGGAATTTTAATTCTGAATTTTCTATTAATTAATCACCTATACTAACTTTAGATAATTTAAATTGTGTGGAAAAAATGAACAGTTTGAATATGAAGTTGAATCTCTCTCATTTCTTCAGCAATTCTACTTAAAATAGAAATGTTATTGAATTATCTCAATTGATCTCATATCTTTGAGTACATGAGCCGCAATTCAAAGAGCCACATTTGAAAATATGTCATCTGTACCTGATTAATGCATATTATTTTTGTAACTATAATTAATGAGTATATAACATATTTGAGGATGTAAGTAAGTGGGTATGTTACAACGAATCATTGGAAATAGTTTACTTGGATTTTCAGAAGACATAATGTAAGTGATATGTAGGTATACAAGATTTGGTTGCAGAGATTGGGGGTAAAATGGTAACATGGATTGATGATTTATTAGTGGAAAGAGAACAGGAAAGAGGTTAAGGGGACATTTTATGGGGCTATTGTGAGGTTTTGTGCTTGGGCCTTATTTAAACATAATGGAACAATCTTTTAGCGAAGTTGAAGATGTGTGCCAGTACTCTGTGTAGAAGTCCTGATGCACTGACACCACAAACAAATTTATGAGTAAGCTTAAACTCCTGATGATTCCCTTATATCCAGCATACCTTGCGACTATCCCTAACCCTGAGCATAGAGTAGAGATTTGGACCAGGTACATTGGAATTACTTGCATGTACTTTAAGTCAATTACATGATATTGGTTGAAGGTGAGATGATTCCCTATCTTAATGGAGTTGATATAATATTTCCGGTCAGTCAGATATGTGCATGTAATGTGTGTAACATCAGTTAGCACACTGTGTGCATGTGAGTGATATTGTAGCCATGTATGTTGTTAGTGCTGTTAATAAACTTCAAGACATCTGTCTCAGCGTGAACCTGATCTTTGAAAAATGTGTTGTAGGCTTAAAAAAAAACCTAAAAGCACACCATGGTGGTTGCAAATGGTACTAAAAGCTAGTGGTGACAGCTAATTAGTGGCAGTAAGTGGTCACTAAAAGCTGAAAAAGTGACAGTGAAAAGTCTTTTTCAGTCATCCATCGATCTGCATTCACAGCTGAGCTTACTATAATTAATACTAAAAACTCCAATCATGTACTGAAGGACAATGAGTACTCAGCTCTCTCTCGTGCTCTTTAAACAAAAGGTGAATTTACAAAAATCCCAGGACGTGGGATTCTTATGCAGACATGGTCTGCAGTGTTTCAAGAAGGCAAATCACCATCTTCTCAAGGGCAACTAGGGTTGGAGAGCAATGAATCCTGGTCCAGCCAGTGACATTCATGTCCCACAAGTGAATAAAAAAAATCTCCAATTCCTATCCTGTTAGTGCAATATGTTGGATTTCCACTTGGCAGTTACCGGGTACCCAGATTGAACAAAGATTGATACTCTGTTTATTCTAGATGCTGATTTGAAGCTATTAATAATAATGCAATAATACCACACCAGTGAAGCACATACCACATATCTGGTATGATGGATTTGGACTTTACACTGGCATTCTACATTCATCTACTGGCAAGTGCCCAATGGAACTGCATGAAGATTCTGTCTTGACCCCATGTTATTTTTTGATCCTGATACTGACAACCAGTCAAGTGAAAATTTGTATGTGCAAACTCACAATTTACCACTGAGTGGTGCAATTTACCTGAATGGCAGTTGTGTTTAGAACTAGACCACCAACCTGTGTGTGTCTTTCCTTAATTTCTCAGGTATGTAGTTTCATGGATCCATCCTGTACAAACTCTTAATACATATAAACTGCTTTTTAACTAAAATTGTTTCCATCTAACACTGCATTAGAGACATTTACATTTTTTCTATTAGTAACCCTTAGCAATGCTGAATGAAGACTGTCTGAAGTCATTTCATATGAAGCATTACTTTACCACGGAGAGTTTTTTAAGCTTGCTTCAGCATAAAAATTACATTAACTTTTAGATTAGCAGCAAGATGAGACTATTCCATGCATCTCCCAGGCTAGTGATTTTCCAAACTAAAATTCAGTTTGCACATTAGCAACAACATTAATACTTAGCTGTTGAAAAAAAGTGTCAAAAATAGCTATTTTTATTACGTTAATATTTATTTTAAACCTAAAATATGTAAAGCTGAAACTACAAATCGATTTCAACCATAAAAATATTTCTTCTCTGCCTGTTATTCCTGATCTTTTTTTCTTCCTTTCTCTTAAGAATAACCTGTCCTTGTTCGAAGTTGAAATAAATTTCAAAGATTTTTTTTAACTTTTTTGTTCCTAATTCTACTTTCACCTTCCTATTATGAAGGCAGTTTTGGTTGAAAACCAGCTACAAGGATCTTTTTTGAAATAATTAATGCAAATGGTATGAATTGACAAGATTATGTTAATGTAATATTTTTAATATGTGCAAATTCACCACATCAATCATGGCCACACCAGCTGACTTATTTACATTAGTAGCCTCAAGACAAATTTTAGCAGAAGAAATGAAAATTTGGTTGAGAAATCAGATTTTTTGTTCAGTTTTTAAAATTATGCCACGCACCTAAATATTTATCCACTTAATAAGGGAGTTGATACAGTTCAGATAAAATCCCATAGAGGCTGTGATTAAGGGGAAAGTGGTGGCATTGTGGTAATGTCACTGGATTAATAATCATCCACAGGCCCAAACTAATGCTCTGAGGATGAGAGTTAAAATCCCACCATGGCAGATGGTTCAATTTGAATTAAATTAATAAACCTGGAATTAAATCTGAAATAATTGTCATAAAAATCCATCTGGTTCAGGACAAAAATCTTAAAATTCAGTCCAGCAATCATGAACAAAATGATAGTGATTTTTTTTTGCAAAAAAAAATCGGTTTCCTAACATAATCTGCAATAATGTCCAATTTGGGAAGTTAAATCATTTGATCAAGTGAACCATGACTGGTTGACAATAACAGCTCAGTTATCATCAGCTTCAAGGTTAATGATGTTTGTGCATTATACACAGAGCTGGACTTTTAAGATCTAATAACACCTGTTGAATTGTCTCTACACAGGTTCATTAATGTCCTTTAGGGAAGAACATCTGTTGTTCTTATCTGGTCTGGCTTACGTTACTTAATACCCAAAGCAAACTAGTTGATTCTTAATGCCCCCTGACTTGGCCTAGCAAGCCACTCAGTATGAAGTCTGAAAGCAATACATCTGGACTTAACACTTGGTATTGACATAGGCAGTGAAAGCAGCAATGGCGAAAGCAACCCTGTTGACCCTGTGAAGTCCTTTTGGTGGCTTGTGCCAAAATTATGAGAGTTGCCCTAAAGGCTAATCAAGCAACAGAGTGATATTGCCAGTAAGAAAGGAATCGGAGAGTATGATCACATCCCAGTACCAGAATTGTAGATGACAATAATCAGTAACCTTGTGGGCTGGCATCACTTTACAATTGCTTCCAGCTCAGGATGCACACCTGATTCAATGAAGAGTGTGGAAGGGCATGCCAGGAGTAACACCAGGCATACCAAAAAATGAAATATCAACCTGGTGAAATTGTCACCACTAGACTGCTGGCATGCGCATGCCAAACAATGGAAGCAGCATGTGATCAACAGAACTAAGCAATCCCACAACCAACAGGTCAGATTTAAGATCAGCACTCCTGCAGAGTAAATGTCTGACATCTCTCAAGCAATTTTTCCAGTAATGTGTTTTCTTGCAAACTGTTTCAGCTTCTTGTGGTTAGAGCACTGCTTTCAACGTTCTGGACATGTTTCCTTTTCTTTCACATGGTGTCTTTTGTAAGATTTACATTCTGCACATTGCCTCTGATCTTTCTGCTAGTTCCTCTATATATTTCTCACTTTTCTCCATTACTTTGGTCCTGTCAGGCCTGAGCTGTCTCTCAGTATAGTGCAAAGTCTGATCACATTAATCCTCTCCAGCTAATGTTTGACTACTGAGACCTTCACTGTAGTTTGATAGTTTTCTTAAGAGTGTGAGTTTCTCTTTTGTCAACAGATGGGCTTTCATGGCCGGTACACTCTCATAACTAAAATAGTCCTATCTCTGAGATCAAGCTTTCATTTTTCAAACTGTTAAGATTCAGCTAGGCATCTTAAGTGCAGTAAACATGAATCAATATTCTCCTTTTCCTGAACTCTGACGTTAAACACATGCTTTTAATAAATAACATTAGCAAAGATCTCAAAATGAGTCTTCAAAGCCTTCATCATTTCTCCAGTCTGACTTTTCTGCTCCTCAGTGAGGTCTAGGGTGCAACACAGCTGATAACACTCTCCCAGCCTTGTTAACAAAGTTGTAACTCCTAATTGTTTAGATTTTTGTTTAACTCTGGCTATTTAATAACCTCTTCTGGTCTCAACGGAAAAATTCCAATTCTGTTTCAAATCATTTTTATCTCCACAAGAGCAAGGACTAGAAAATTCAAAGCCTTACTGACTCACCCAGTGGTACAGAGTTGCAAACTAAAGATTTTTAGTTATACTCTGTTTCTTACAATAGCAAGCTCTGTTGCAGCACTTTATAATCTACACTAATGGCAGTTGCAAACTGCTGACACCATGTTCGGTATGCTGGCTATAATGACTTCTGCCTCCATGCCTCTGCACAGAATAGGAATGACATCAGAAATCACATGACAATGGCAATTCATCGTGCGCAATCTACAATGTATAAAAATGTTTCTGTGAATGAATCACTTCTCCTGGAATGAATGTCTGTTGGAAGTTTCCACAAATTTGTACCTGATTCCGTACTTATAAAGAAGTTCTAAAAATTTGCATACATAAATAGTTTTGTTTTGTGTTTAAAAATTAGAAACAAAAATGGACAATACTGGACTGTCTGTTTCCATGCTGTATGACTCTATGTTGGACAGGTCAGGCAGCATCAGTGGAGAGTCGGGTGGGTGGAGGGGGAACAGAAGTTAACATTTCAATTTAATAGTCTTTCATTAAACCTTTCAAAAATTAAATTGATTCTCTTGTGTATAAAGAGCATGTCTTGGAAGCATTTGAGTCTAATTTTCTTAAAGACTGGAAATTGTACCCCAATGGAATTTTGTATATTTTTAAAAGCCACTTTCAGTAATTTTAACTTATTTACAGATGAATTGTTTCTTATTAAAAATACTTCTTTTCTGTCTATGTTTCAGATGTATTAACCAAACTGCACTGAAAATATACCTTTTTAAACTATTGTTTTAAGTACTTTTAAATGTGCTGTCTGATTGTTATGGCTATTACATATTTTGCATGTGAGTTTGAATGGCTAATTGATTGATTTTAGCAGGTGAATGGAAGTTCAAGGAAGTAAGAAAAATCTTAGAACTTGTGCCCAGAGTGGACTATCTTAGCTGATGACCTGTTGAGTGTTGCCACCATTTCTAATTTTAATTTTTAGTTATGCTGTCCTTCAATATTTCCTCCACTCCAGGAAGTGCAATACAGTTGTTTTCAGGATCAGCACATATTTTGTGTTCAGTTATATCTTAGACAATTGCAGGACAAGTTCACGTGCCAGCAGGGCTTAAAGAATAGTGTTCAGGAATAGGAACTGTAGATTGGAGCTTTCATTCTCCCCTCATAGGCTATGGAGTTTTTATTTGTCTTCAGCAAATTAAGCATGTCGGCAAGCGGAAATGTAGTAGTAACAGATTTTATCATGCTGATACCAAAACCATTTATCATCTATTTTGTTTTCCAGGACAAGACTCTGTACCATCCAGTCAGTAACAGCTGTTTGGACTGCAGTGTCACGGATAAAAATATTTTTATGAATATCTGTAATCCCTCATCTCCTACACAACAGTGGCTATTTGAAAATATAAATACAACAGTTTTGGAAGAAATGAACATTAGAAACTTGTAGTGACTTGTATTTAAAACATTGAGATGTAATCATTTTTATTCAGGGTGGTTTTTAAGGGATGTTTTTATAGCTATATCCAGGGTTTTTTAAATAATTCTGGTATTTTGAAAGGTTTTATCTCAGGACTGATTAGGTATAAGCAGGTGTTTGTTAATGATGTCATCAAATGCTCTTGCAGTGCACCAGTGCTTGTATGCTGAAGTAATAAAACTTGAGCTAATTTTTAGTGCCTTGGCCGGTGAAAGGCAGAGAGTACCCATGTCACTGTTTTTTATTACACCTGGGCAATTAGCCATCTCGCTCTTTGCCAATTCATTTTCTATTTGACTAAAGAAAAAGAAAAATTTTCATTTGTATAGAATTTTTCACTATCACTGGATGTCTCAAAGCGCTTTACAGCCAATGAAGTACTTTTGAAATGTCAATTAGGAAACGTAAATTATTTTTAATCAACTTGCTTGGACATGTGATGGCACACCTTTGGAGTAGGCGTGACTTGAACTTTTAATCTCACTAAATTACTGCAATTATTTAAGTTCGCTGATTTGATCACACTTTAAAGAGATCCATGAAGTGAAAAATAACAATTAAACGACTGTAATGTTTTCCAAACTGGCTAAGTATCCATGTTGTATAAAGCTCTGTTTTCCACAGAGGAGTCTGCTGCAGTTTCAAAGTTCCTTGATTGATAGAGAAGGATACTACAATAATTTATTTGCAATTTAGTTAGCCTAACTACTGGAGTTACCTTCAGAAGAACGCCATTAAAATAAAATGAAAAGCATAAAATGTGCTATGGTGCCTACATGATTGCATATTTTCTGGTTTTAAAAATCAAGTTGTTACATTTGTATGTTTCTCATGTTGACACCACTATTACATTTTACTCTGGGATTCAGGGTAAACTTATCTCTCTTATTTTGCACTTTAAAATGACGCTGTCTACATGCGACCAATCTCTGTTTGTGTTTATTAGAAATGACCTGATTTAGGAACATGTAAGGTTTTGCATTCAAATAACTTTATGCAACGCCTGTAACAAAATTTAAATGCCCTCCGAGAAATGTTGCTTAAGTCTTTTGTTTGAACTTGTAATCTCTCAGCAAGAATTAAGCACAGATTTATTTCAACAAAAAACTTGATCAGCTGTGGGGAGTATTTAAAAGTTTACTCTTTATTTATGTCTATGCAGAAGATAACTTTCAACTACCATACAAGATGATCAGGTGTTTTGCAGGATGACAAGAAGGATATAATTATAGAAATTGTACGATTTATGAATCAACCTATTTTTTCCATAGTGAACGATCTTACAGAGAAATAACTTCTATGAAATACTCATTGTCAAATATGATGGAATTCAAGTCTCTTTATGGAACTTTTATGGGCTTGTCCAATGGAAATGCAAGTATACATTACATCTTCCATAATGTCAAGCAGAGAAATGCACAACTGGGCCCAATAGGTTCAGACCAGTATTTACACTGCACCAAAACTTCTACCCATCATACTTCATCTTATTCTAACAACATATCCATATATCTTTTGTCATATGTACCTATATAGCTTCCTCTGAAATGCAATTCTATGAAAGATGTTAACTATTCCATGTATGTCTTAGCACTCTTGGCTAAAGACGTTTCTTTTGAATTCCTTGTTGGATTTATTACTGACTTTTATTAATGGTCGCAAATTTTGGATTTTCCCATGAAGAGAATTCATTTTATCTTTGAAAGTCCAAAATTTGTGGAGGAAGCACTGTTCTGAGTTAAATATTAAGCTAATCTCTAGTCTGGGCTTTTATAAATTTTAATGGTTTGTAGATACTTCAAATAGTCCATTTATATAAGCAGAAATTGGATAACGCTTTCATTCTAGTTTTGGTCTGTTGATTGGAATGCCTTTTGAAAATCAATAATATCACATGGATCAAATATGTATGCTAGATATCTGCTCTAAATATAACAATCGCTCAGCCTCATGAATGTGTACTAGTACAAAGAGAATGCAACTATTCTACGTGTAAGAAATGGTAGGGACAACCATATTACTTTTTAATTACCTAAGCTGGTGTGTATATCAACTGCAAAATATATTCTGACAAAATATTTTTAAAATCAGTTTTAGAATTACAAAGTGCTTTTCTGTTTAAGTATACATTTCTCAAATTGAAAGTCCACTGACTCCTAAACAGCCTGTGTAAATATTTTCTGGTATTTTCCATTTTGAATATTTTTTCTTTGCATGAAATATTTCATTGTAAGCATCTGAGGAAGTTGACATAAATTGTACTATTAAATGAAACATGGCTCTTTAATTTCAACATTTGTTAGTCTTTGAAATTATTTTGTAAAATCACTACTTTTTGTAACACTTACACTTAGGTAGTTGGTAATGGTTATGAACATGTCAGGAACTATGCATAACTTCAGAGGCTGGAATCATTTGACATGTCCCTCAGATTTGTCTCAGCCAAGGAAATGCCCTGCATGCTTGCAAGATCGTATTCACTGCCCTTTGAGTGATGTTCTAAGATCTTGCATTGCCAATGTACCAACTTGCACATTTTAAGCACCATTACTCAAGGCAGTGTAGGACTCGGCAATCTTATTCACCGGAGCAAACATTTCTAATCTTAGTGGTTCTACTATTAGAACTGATGCATGTCTTATTTGTAATCTACATTTCTGTCATCTCAAAGACTCAAACACCGAACAGGAAAAGAGAAAAATGTAACCAAATATCCATTCAGAACCAGAGAGGGGGTGGTCAGCGGAGATGCATCAGCAACTGATGCTATCTTTAGCCCAAATCTGGATCAAGTCTCCTTGTTTAATATGATTGTGACCGTGAACCATTCTACTTCAGTACTTCAGATTTTAAGTCTATATTCTGTACTTTTTTTTTACCTTGATTGTCTGTTCAAGGAACTATACGCATTAATGCCAGCATTACTGTTTTTGGATGCATTGAAACCAAGTATTAAGGACTGATCCTAGCTATTTCCTCTGTTTACATTTAATGACAACCCCCCCCACACCAGAATACAGTTGAACTTCTGGAATGGTGCCGTCTACCATGGAATTCCAGCCATGTAAACTGAGTAGCTGAAGAAACCAAATACTGTACAAGAGGTAACCCAACCTTTTTAGTTGATCTCATGTCCATAAATAGTCTCATTGCATTAAGCAGAAAATTGAAATGAAGGGGTCTCAAAATGCTGGCCTTTGTACAGATCTTACTTTCCTGTGTATTACTAGTGGCTGTTCACAACAATTATGTTTGTTATATTCAGGAACAAAACAAAGTTGCTGGAAAAGCTCAGCAGGTCTGGCAGCATCTGTGGGGACAAAACAGAGTTAACTTTTCGGGTCTGGTGACCCTTCCTCAGAACTGATGGTGGCTGGGAAAACGTCAGTTTATATGCAGAAAATAGGGAGGTGGGTGGGGTAGGGAGTAAACGATAGGATAGAGCCCAAAGAGAGAGAAAGACAGTCGGACAGACAAAGGAGTTGCTAACGATCAGGCTGTGATGATGAATAGTTGTTAATGGGGACTGTTAGTGACTAACAACAGGGGGTTTGTAGTGGCAGGCTGTGGTAACAAGGCCTGGTGTGTGGGGTGGGGGGCTGTGACATGGGAGAGTTTAGGCCCTAAAATTATTGAACTCAATATTGAGTCTGGAGGGCTGTAGGGTCCCCAAGCAGAAAATAAGGTGTAGTTCCTCCAGCATGCGCTGGGCTTCACTGGAACACTGTAGCAAGCCGGAGACAGAGATGTTGGCCAGCGAGTAAGGTGATGTATTGAAGTGGCAGGCAACAGGTAGTTGAGGGTCTTTTTTGCAAGCGGAACGTAGATGTTCTGCGAAGCGGTCGCCAAGTCTACGCTTTGTTTCCCCAATGTAGAGGAGACCACACTGTGAGCAGCGAATACAGTAGACTAGATTCTTGCAAGTGCAGGTGAAGTGTTGCTTTACCTGGAAGGTATGTTTGGGCCCTTGGATACTGGGGAGGGAGGAGGTAAATGCATAGGTGTTGCACCTTCGCAGGTAACAGGGGAAGGTGCCTTAGGGCTATGGGGAGGTGTTGGGGGTGAAGGAAGTATGGACCAGGGTGTCCCGGAGGGAACGGTCCCTGGTGGTGGCATCTTGCTGGAGGTGGCGGAAATGGCGTCGGATGATCTTCTGGATGTGGATGCTGGTGGGATAGTAGGTGAGGATAAGGGGAACCCTATCACTGTTGCGGGAGGGAAGAGAAGGGGTGAGGGCAGAAGTGCGGGAGATGGGTCGGACCTGATTGAGGGCCCTGTCGACAATGGAGCTGGGAAATCCTCGGTTGAGGAAGAATGTGGACATTTCGGAGGCTCCTTGTCGAAGTTGGCCTCATCTGAACATATGCGACGGAGACCAAGGAACTGAGAGAATGGGATGGAGTCTTTACAGGAAGTGGGGTGTGAGGATGTTTAGTCCAGGTAGCTGTGGGAGTCAGTGGCCAGTCCTCTGAAATGTCCACATTGACCCTCAATTGGGTCCGACCCATCTCCCGCACTTCTACCCTCACCCCTTCTCTTCCCTCCAACAACAGTGATAGGGTTCCCCTTATCCTCACCTACCATCCCACCAGCATCCGCATCCGAAGATCATCAGATGCCATTTCCGCCACCTCCAGCAAGATGCCACCACCAGTCACATATTCCCCTCCCCTCCCCTCCCTTGTCCGCCTTCCGCAGGGACCATTCCCTCTGGGTCACCCTGGTCCATACTTCCTTCACCCCCAACACCTCCCCACAGCCCTACAGCACCTTCCCCTGTAACCGGCGAAGGTGCAACACCTATGCATTTACCTCCTCCCTCCCCAGTATCCAAGGGCCCAAACATACCTTCCAGGTGAAGCAACACTTCACCTGCACTTGCAAGAATCTAGTCTACTGCATTTGCTGCTCACAATATGGTCTCTTCTACATAGGGGAAACGAAGCGTAGACTTGGCGACCGCTTCGCAGGACATCTACGTTCTGCTCGCAAAAAAGACCCTCCACTACCTGTTGCCTGCCACTTCAATGCACCACCTTGCTCCCTGGCCAACATCTGTCTCTGGCTTGCTCCAGTGTTCCAGTGAAGCCCAACGCAAGCTGGAGGAACAACAACTCATTTTCCGCTTAGGGACCCTACAGCCCTCCGAACTCAATATTGAGTTCAATAATTTTAGGGCTTAAACTTTCCCATGTCCCAGCCCCCCACCCCACACACCAGGCCTTGTTACCACATAGCCTGCCACTACACACCCGCTGTTGTTAGTTACTAACAGTCCCCACTAACAACTATTCACCCTCCCAGCCTGATCGTTAGCAACTTCTTTGTCTGTCCGACTGTCTTTCTCTCCCTTTGGGCTCTATCCTATCGTTTACTCCCTACCCCACCCACCTCCCTATTTTCTGCATATAAACTGACGTTTTCCCAGCCACCATCAGTTCTGAGGAAGGGTCACCAGACCCGAAACGTTAACTCTGTTTTGTCCTCCACAGATGCTGCTAGACCTGCTGAGCTTTTCCAGCAACTTTGTTTTTGTTCCTGATTTACAGCATCCGCAGTTCTTTTGATTTTTATGTTTTTTATATTGCTAGATTATTCAAATTATTTATCATTTAAGGTAAAAGCTTTATCCTACTATCATTTTAACTTTTAATTAAATTGCTTCCAGTTTTATTAGCCTGATTTAAATCTTGAATGATGGACAAAATGTAAATCCTGTGATATGCTTCATTGAAGGATGTTTCAAATTAAAGTTTCAAAAACCTACTTCCTGTGTTGAATACAGTAACTTGTATTTATATAATGTCTTTAATATAATAACATGTCCCAAGGAGCATTATAATGCAAAATTTGACAATGAATCATTGAAAAAGGTAATAGGACAGATTATTAAAACCTTAGTCAAAGAGATAAGTTTTAAAAAGCCTCTTACAGGAAGCTGAAAGAGAAAGTGGTTCAGGGGAAGGGAATTCGCAAGCCAGAACTTAGACAGTTGAGGGTGTGGCCTCCAACAGTGAAACATTTCAAAAAAGATATGGTTAAGAGGCTTTAATTAGATTGCTGCAAATACCCTGGGAGGTTCTGGGGTCGGTGAAGATGTCAAGATCATGCCAGGGTTTGAAACTAAAGATGACTTTTAAAATTGGGGTTTTGCTTAACCAAGTGTCAGTGTAATGGCTGATCAGGACTTTGTAAGATTTTGGGGCTCACTTTTTAAACTTTTCTCCCCTACAATTATAGGTTATGTTTGAAAGAGCCAATCTAAAAGTTTACTTGACCTAATTAGTTACAAGACCTGTACCAAGTACTAATATTTTGCAAGCAAATTTTCAAAGGAAGTAATACTTAATAAAAACAGTGGTTTTTCCAGTCGATCCAGATTGGTATGCCAATTCATGACACTGGTTGACTGAGCAAGGGCTTTCTGTTCTGTTGACTGATGTTCTCTTTCCATCTTTCTTTCCTTTTTGTGCATCGAACCACTAAGAGCCACCGCGTATTAAGGCTTGCTAGCCATACAACCTTTTGCACAATCAGAGACCTCCTGGACTGAGTAGTGTATTTGTGCATGTACAATTTTTGGATTGGCTAGTTTGTGTCTGCCCAATCTCAGATTGGTTTCTTTAAAAGTAATGGTCATCTTGCTGATATCATTTCCTACTATCGCGAATCATTCTTGGACCTTCTGATGACTGACTTTGTAAGATCATTCCTTTTGTAACAGTTGTGTTAGCTTACCAACTCTTTTAAATTGTTACCAAGAAAAGATGACACCAGTGAGATCATGATTTCACCCCCTCCGCTCCCCCCCCACCCCGCCACCAGATCCCCCAGGGACAGCACAGTGGCTCAGTGGTTAGCACTGCTGCTTCATTGCACCAGGGATCTGGGTTCAATTCCAGCCTCGGGAGATGTCGATGTGGAGTTTGCACATTCTACCATGTATCCGTGTGAGTTTCCTCAGAATGCTGTAGTTTCCTCCCACATCGAAACATGTGCAGGTTAGGTGGATTGGCTATGGGGAATGCAGGGTTACAAGAGTTGTGGGTGTGAGTCTCGGTGGGTTGGTGTGGACTTGATGGGGTGAATGCCCTGTTTCCACACTGCAGGGCTTCTATGCTTAAAGTGTGTCATGTTCCCTCCTGTGAATAACTATCATCCCAAATTATACATCTAAAACGGACAAAACAACTACAAGACTACAGATGTCATTACAGAATCCAATTACAAAGTATGTGTATAGATATACACATGCACACACAGACACCAATTGATTACATACTTTAAATTGGT